GAAGAATGTAACCTTCCACATACCCATCTTGCTACTCTGTGATTTCCTTCTTCTGAAACAACTGAGTTGCTCTTTATACAGTGAGCAGTTCTTACATACACTTACAGTTACACTGAGTTTCTCTCCATGAAGCCCAACTATCTCCATAGAATGGAACCCAAGGAACTTTTTCATTCATTCACGTGTCTGATCATAATTTCTATCCTTTCTAACTCTAATTGGCCTCATCTCAACAGTTCAGCCACAGACTTTCTATCTGGCAATAGATCAAGCAGAGCAAAGATTCAAAAAGTGATTTGTGTAATCCATGCTTGTACTTTAGACAACTAAATTTCAGTCCTGAAACTCCTAGCTCAGATGTCATTGTATCCCAGAGATGCCTCACCTGGAGTACTGTGTCCAGGTCTGGTCTCCTCAGTTCAAGAAGGACGAGGAACTACTGGAGACTGGAGAGGGTGCAGCTCAGGACCACTGAGATAATGAAGGGCCTGGAGCACCTTCCGTATGAGGAAAGGCTGAGAGAGCTGTGTCTGTTTAGCTTGGAGAAGAGGAGGCTGAGGGTGCAATCTTACCAATGCTTATCAATATCTAAAGGAAGATGGGGCCAGGCTCTTCTCAGGGGTGTCCAGAGACAGGAGTAGGGGCAATGGCCATACACTGGAAAACAGAAGGGTCAACCTGAACATGAGGGAACCCTTCTTCACTGTGAGGGTGACAGCACGGGAATAGGCTGCCCAGAGAGGTGCTGGAGTCTCCTTCTCTGGAGACTTTCAAAAGCCGCCTGGACTTGTTCCTGTGTGATCTGCTCTAGGGGATCCTGCCCTGGCAGGGGGGGTGGACTAGATGATCTCTAGAGGTCTCTTCCAACCCCTACCATTCTGTGTATCTGTGAAACTGTGAATTTTCAGGTTTATATTCTATTCGCTCAATAATACCTGAAAACAAAACTTCCCTTTATCTGTCTGTAGGCGCTTAATCCAGTGTACTTGCTCTAGAAAAATATGCTGCACAGATTTTTGATAGGGTTTTGAACAAGGTTTCAAGAGTGACATTGTTTTTGTCTGACGGCATAGTATCCACCAGTATACTCAATGGGGTGCACATGTTCTTTCTTCTTTTCAAAGAAAAACGTAATCCCACACTCTCTGTAAAACAAAAAGTTGAAGCTGCCTAACCCTCAGGAGATGTTTGAGTTCTAAATCCTGAACAGAAGAAGGTAATGCCTCAAATCAGAACCAAACCCGATCCTAAGCAGGGCCTATTCATACATCAGTTTTTATTTCAACCATTCAGACATCTCAAGTCCTAACCTTCAACCAAGGAGCAAAAGGGAATTGAGGAAAAACTCTCCTCAGAAATATATCCTTTGGACAGTTGCTGGTATTCACACACACACATCAGCATTTCAGCATGTTATTTTCCATGAATTTTATTCAATGATCTCAAAGGATGGCCTTTGTAAGCCTTGGTATGCCTCTGCTAGAAAGCACATGAAGACCCTAACTTCCCTGCAGAGCAAACTATTCTCACCCATTCGTTAGCAGTGAGAGCCAGGTTAACATCACATCATGCTCATTACGTACATACTTAGGCTTTTTATGGGACATAGCTGTTAGACTCAGTCATTAGAGAGATGATAAAAGTAAAATTTGGATTTAAAATATATTCAGACACATGGCTATTTACAGTCCTTTAAACTCCAAGTCTCCTGCCGCCTGTATGAAATAGATAGTACCTCCCTGGACTACTAGAGAACCAGAAAGACAAACACAACAGCATCCCTGCAGCATTCTGACTCCAGACCAACAGCCACGTCACACGAGCTGTACTGATAAAACAAACCACACAAAATAACTAATTTGTAAAACCTTCTAGCCATTTCTTGAGGACTTTTTAAGTACAAACACCTGCATTAAGTAAAATCTGAATGTCCTCATTTAGAACATCAGAATGATAGCACTTTGCTGTCTCATGGGGAAGATATGAAGACAAACAACTGAATACCACAATCTTAGAGTGAAGGGAGACAGAGGAGTTCCTTAGCTAAAACAAGAACGCCAGCAGTTCCTTTGCCTGGTGGTATTTTGATAGATATAATGAATGTTGTTGCAGCTAAGAACTTCTAGGGTTACAAATAAGTTTGTAAAATTGAGTTTGCATCTTTTGGGAAATAATATTACAGATGCCTAAAACAGTTCCTACCATCTGAAGAGCTGAGAAGTTGCAGGTGGACAGTTCTGGCAGAAACAATCCTTTTCTTTACCTGCCTTACTCTCATCTAATGTGTACTCAGAGCACATCTTCCTGTGCAGCTGGAGGCTTTGTTGCAGAGAGAATGATGCTGCTTAGTATATCCAGTGTTTATTGCCTAACTTCTTTTTTTTAAGAAAAAAAAGATTAATTTGGAAAATTTCCCAGGTAATACATCTGCCCCTATTACTCCCACCTCGGAGCGTAAAACCAGCCAGAGAGGTAGTGAGGACAACTGCATTTATTAGCAATGAATAAACTGATTTATCTTTTTCTGGATTAGCAGTGGGAGATTCCAGATGCAATAAGAAGTATCTGTCTGCTGACTGACATTTACAAGATGGCACACTTTTGTGTCAAAAACGTACACAGCTGCATGCACACTAAAGCTGTCCAGCTATAAAGCACAATTGCCAACTGCTTGTCTTCAGGGATGGGTAATGAGAGAGGGCCTCAGCAACAAAATAAGTGAGGGTGCAATTAAAGATTATTTTTCATTCCCTTAAGCGTCTTTTGTCCTAAACTCTCTTATAATTTTCCCTTTATCATGTTTTGGAAGAAGGACTTATGATCTGTCTCAAAAAAACAGGATTTTTATTTCTCAAAAGCTTTATTGAGTTGACAGGTACCTGAATTACACATTTTTAGGTACCAAACAGGCTTATTTAACCTGATTGTCAGTCATCACCAGCAGATGTCTGGACAAATTGTCTAGCATATTTTGGTTCTAGGTCATTTCCAGATACTCAGACTAATAGCTTGTCTAAAAGAAAGAACACAGTCCGAAGCAATAATAAGGTATTTTCATCCACACACCATTTTCAGCCATCAGATGCCAATATGAAGGGAGCTTTATTTTAACATCTGCTCCCAGCATGTCTGTCCAAACTCTCAGCCATCTCACTAAACCTTATTCAAGGTCTCAGACTCAGTTTGTGGAATGTAACTGAACCCCAGACTGAATCAACGATTGGGTAGATTCGTGTTGGGCTTGCTTGGTTAAAAATAGACAGGCATGTCAACAATCCCAGTGGTGTAACACCTTCTTCCCCAACACACTCAGAGACTTCTGATGAGAAGTGGGAAATTCAGTGATACTCATGATTTTTTACCTGCCTGATTAAACTATTTAACTGTACAGCAGCAATGGGGCTGACTGAAGCTCCAATGAGAAAAACTGCAGCTCACAACTCCTCTGGTGTTTAGATCATCACAATTTACAACAAAAGAAATACATCAAAGATTATTTTACTAAATACATGGTAAAGGGTGCAAACTCTCATGTCAGGAAAACCCTTGAGCAGTTTGGATAAGGAAAAAAGCCCAACAGCTGTTCCTATGGAGTCCTGCACAGAGACAGGTTTTGCAAGTCAACATGGTGTCAATATTTAACTAACACGTTATCGCTTGTTATTATTATTTGACTAATCAGTCAAGTAAGCACCTAGCAAGAAAAAAAAAAGTGGAATTTATCTTCAATTTTCATTTTTTTAAAATCAGATTCACTGAGTGATCACAGAGAAACTAGAAGGTGATTTTTGTTTTAAAAAAAACCGCATTTGCGCACATGCATACTTGCAAGTACCAAGATATCTGTATTCACATTTTCTTGCCAGAATTACCTGTGGTGACACAGAAGACAAGGGATGTCAGCTACTCAGTTGTCTTCAAATCTCTGGCATTCTTTTGAGTGTCAACAATGCTGCCTGTTTTTTACAGCCCTTTTCTGTCTTCACAGTGCTCAGTACCAGGTAAAGCTGTACCACACTGTGGTGTGCTCTTCGCACTATCAGCATGCCGTCTAACGCCAGCTCTCACCGTTACCTAGATTCCTTTTGGATTTCCCCTTGCTGCTATCAGTCTCATGACTTGATATATCCACATACCCCTTTCATACACTTATTTTTTTTTTTTAAACCTTCACCTCTCACCCCTTTCATACACTTATTTAATTTTTTTTTTTTTAAACCTTCACCTCTACCATCTCTTATTGCACTTTTAAAAACCTCATACTTCATGCACACCAATGTAGTATTTCACTTACAGACCTCTACTTCTCAAACATGCAACAAGGTTCATCTAGGTATTTTCCCAAAAAAAAACGCACTTTTGCTTTATCCAAGAAATGAAGACATCAGAAAATTATGAGAATCACAGAACATGATAATTGGTCTGCTTCGATCTGAAATACAGCCAGTTCCAAAATAACTAACTAATCAAACAAGGGAGGATATGATAACACCCAGCAGACCAGAAACAGCAGAATTCTGTCAGAATAACCCCCTTTTTTCTTTCCTTGTCAAAACAAACATGACCATAACACAAATGTTACAAACAAAGAAGTGATTTTTGAGTTCTTGTGCAACCTCAGGAATCCTCAAAATATACAAAAGAAACCATGCCTTAGTATTCACAGCAAATTCATCAGAAAGTTTTTATCCCAGAAGAATAAATAAAAACCATCTTATATTTACCTTTAGGAAATGAGTTGGATATGCAGCAACATTCACCATCAGGTACATCTCTATGTCCAAAGACAAGGGAATACAAATCCCACATGTCCAACAATGTTTTCCACAGGCTTTTTATGTGAGGATCGAAATAACCCATACATGAATAACAATCACATTATGCTCATAAATTAAAAACTATGGATTTTACCATAAAAATTATACAGAAGATGACAATAAATGGTAAAATAAATGCAGATTACAACTGGTACATTTTGTAAGTCATTTAAACTCATTTACCTGTAAAGTAAGTATTGGCAGGAAGAGTGGAACTAGGGAATCTGTAATATCCATTTCCTGGGAAACGGATCCCTTTCATTACTTCTGTAGTCAGTGTAGCTAAAGATGAATCCATCCTTTCCACCTGGTAGATGGGAGGAGGCCCATTAAGTTCTTCAGGTTCATTCCAATTTATCTTTACTGTTGTACTGTTCATTCCTTCAACAAGAGGGGCATCAAGTTTTCTTGGAGCTGCACACACACACAAAAAGTTATCTAGGTATCATTGTCCATAATACTTGGGAGATTATTTATTGTACATAACAATATTTGCAAAACATCCTGCTTCAGTTTGTGATCATCTTAAGAATAAACACAGATATTGACAGAAGCTTAAACAGAGAGAAAAAAAAAAAAAAAACCAACCACCAAAATATTCTTAATCTTTATAGGAACTTACTTTCATTTCCACAAGAAATAACTTATTTTTTTTTATTCTTGGATAAGAATAAGGCTTTGGATAAATGTCCCTAGCATTATATCCATTTTCTTTTCATAATTTTTATGAATGTGAATCAACATCTTCAGAAAAAGTATATTTTTATTCTTTCCTTAATTAGCCTCTCATACCATATTCCCTGTATATGTGTATTTGTATGACTTTCAGCATTGGATTTCAGTAAAACACCAAAGGAGAATCTAAACAGATAATTAGCTCTTGTTACATCTCAGCAATATGGTACATGACAACATGAGTCTTTCATCACTGAATTTATCCTCGTCAACAGGAGCAGAACAGCTACCCATCCACAACACTGAGGCCCATCAGGTTGTTTTCCTCATGGTGCACATTCAAGCCCTAGCATAAGTTTAGATAATTATCGAGTTCAAGAAAACGATCCTCTCTAACATTTCTCCACCAACCCTGGTGCACAGTAAGACTCCATAGAAGACTGTTTCCACAAAGATATCAGCATGTTTTACGCTATTACAACTATCCTCATGCCATTAAAACCAATACTCTGATACTGTTAAATATTCTGATAGCGTTCGTCACTCAATAGCTGAGTTATCAACAAAATTTGGTTTGGTTTTGGTTTTTTTTTTAATACTGTGCAATAAGCCACTGGAGGGCAGCATGACCTGTTTGGATAATGGCATGATGGCCATACATATGGGAAAGAAATGGACCACCACCGAAATAATAAAAGAAGTCATCTGGAGAAGTAGTAGAGAACACTCTACTAGCTAGAGAATCTATATCCATCTTATCTTGCCTTTTTCCCTTCCCCTTCTTTCCCTGATAAAGAAAAGGATTTAACATTTGTACCCAGGAAGTGAAATACAATGACAACTTGTAAAAATTACTTGTTCCCATAATGACATAGTAAAGAGCAATAAACGGCTTTCAAGTACAATAAAACCTGAATTAAAATATGAGCCTTCGAAATCTGACATATTACTTCACAGCACAGCATTGTACATAGTGCGAGTTCTTTAGAGAAGAAGAGATTGCTTCATTTAGAATGAATTAATAACATCCTTTTAAGGATCTGCGCATTTCCAAGATCATTAACATATTTTTCATTTTTCCTACTTGCCTGTAGCATGTTGCTACTTCTTTTTCCCCTCGCCCTTTCTTCCTTTCTCTTTGCCCCCCTCTAAATTGATAAATATTCTTCTTGGAGAAAGCAGGGAGTGGGGGAACTGGGAAACTGCCAATGACACTGTGCTGTAAATTCCTGCTTAGGCATCATTTATGACTTCACAATCTAATTAGTATCTCACACTATGGGAGAAATTTACAATGTCAAAATTGAAGTAATGCAGTGTGAGGTCATAAGCTTTCCTGCATAAGTAGGGCCCAGCACTAATGAATTGTGGTATTAATGCACAAGTTTAACTAGAAAACATGGCTTAACAATCAAAACTTCACCTTTGAGGGAACCAGTGTACGTCAGCATTTTAAATGCGATCGTAAGAGGTTGAGCCCTCCAGTTCAGCTTACTGATGGTAAAGCAGAAATGCTAAAATTCAGTATTTCTAAAAACACACACAGCTAAGTAACACTCATGACAATAACTATATCTTTCTTTAAAGTCTAGTATTAATAAACAGCAGTTACTTGGACCATAATTATGGCATCTCTGATACCCAAACCTGAAGCTTTTATAGGGCTTATGCAATTAACTACTTAAATGCATCGTAACGCTTGCTTCTCTGACAGGGAAGTATTGATTTTTTAATCATTTTCAAGTCTCCTCTAGCACAAATAAATGTACTACAGTTACAGTTAATGCACTGTGTACACGCATTAAACACTGGCATGACACAATTTATTATTTTGTGATATATAGAACAGTAGCCTACCCTTTCAGAAAGCAACATCCTTGCTGTAACATTCGCATTTAAACCACAGTCTTGTTAATGCTTGAGAATTCTTGTGTGTCACAACAGTGAAAGACTGTACATACTAGGTTACAGAAGTTTTTTCTTTTTTTTAAAAAAAAAAAAAATCAAAACAAAGCAGAAAACCAAATTCCACATAAGAACAGACAGGACTGAAAATAAATCTGTAGCACTAGCCCAGCAGGTTACTAAATGCTGAAATTAAAAATTTTCAAGACCAAAAGATACAGTATATATTTTCCTAAAGGTGTCACTGTGGTACCTGTAGCTACTTTCTGAAAGATGAATTGACTATAATTTTACGTATTTAATTTTTTTTAGTCACGTTCTGTTAAGACACATCTGTCAAAATAATGAGCATACTATGTTTTAGTGGATTCAAAGTCATATTTTGTGTATTTTAATTATGCAGTTTTAATGTCTTGCTATATAATACATATTTAATATATTATAAAGCTAAAACAGTATTTAAAAGCCCATGATTGCTGCATGCCATTGTGTAGCAGAGGGCACAAAAAAGACCAATAAAGACAGATGGTCCATACAGCTTACATTGAAGTCATATATCTAAATATAGATGTTGCTACACAGGTCATTACAAACAAGCCTTTCCCATGTGTGCATACACACACATGTACACAAAAATGAAGTTGGTAAGTAAAGAGCAGTTAATTTTGTTTTGTTTGAAATAATATCATTTTAGTTTTAGACTCAAAGACAGATGCCAGCATTTCGCTCTGAACAGATGGTAATTCCATCTAATAGTGCATCTCTGTATTAGTAAGGTCTGTTGTGTATACAAACAGTAATAAACACTAGGTAAGGATCAAAATAAATTTTAATTGTTGACATTAAATTTTGGCAGCCACGGTTCTAAGGATACAATACTCCTTTCTCAAGTCTGTCAGGTTTACTAATACAACTGCTAAAGCTTTTCCATACTCTGCCAGATTCTTGTCCCAGGAACAACATGTTTACACTGTGGCTAAATTTAACAGGCTCACATATGTTTGAAGAACTACTGCTCAGCATTCTGTAGGTAGATATTTGAGCACCCTTCCCCAGAAGCCTTCAATTGGCCACGTGGAATAGTTCAGAAAGGTAACAGTAACATAAAGTATACAGTTTTTAATTATTATTCAGTTGAACTCAAAATGCATACATCCAAAGTAAACCAGAGACCTTTGGCAAATTTGAGGACAAAAACTTAAAGAAATTTTTTTTTTTTTTCATCTTCCAATTTACCTTGCAGGTAAAATTAAGTCTCTCGCTATTGGTCACCCATTTCATTTTTGCTGTAAGTTATTAGTCTGGAGAACCCTCAGATTGCCATAGCATTTCTGGTATGATACTTTCCTTCTCTGTGCTTCACGATATCATGAGTCATTTCAACAGTAAATGAGTCAAGAAATAATACTTATATCTTCTGACAGCATTTTGATTGTTTTTTAGAAGATTCTTTAGAGTCTATTTGGGACTATTCCTCGAAAAGAATAAAACCCACCCATAATAGACATCAAAAGAAAATTTAATAACATGGGTCTGTTACAATCATATTTCTTTAAAAATAAATGCAATACGCAGTATTTTTTAAAAATCATGAAAAATATATTGCTTCCACCATATGGGACAACCAACGACTCACCAACCGATTTAAGATGCAGCATATTGAGCTGACCATATGTTACAGTGCTGTTGAATGGCTGAGTGATTCATGCCCGTCACATTCTAGTATATCAATTAAAGCTCCTTGAAGTCTGCATGATTTGTGTCTCTGTTATTAAACCCTGCTAATTCATCCCACTTACACATCTGTTATAAATCTCTAGGAGTGCTGCATGATTCATGGCAATCTGTGAGCATGGTACAGCAAATTCTTCTCCTTGTAATTAACAGTAAATTGTTTTACTGCCATGCAATGAATTTTTCAGTTATATTGCAAATGAACTCCTAAATGCACGGTTCTTTCCCAAGAACTGACTTATATCATTAGGCAATTAAAAAGTATTGCTTTGAACCAAAAGCTTTTAATCAAGAGGAATGCAACTTAAACACAGCTTAAAAACCTTGCAAATTTGACAGAGAGAAAAGAATCAACTGAGCTATTTTCTGAAGTATAATATGTGGTTTGTAGGGAGAAGAAACAAATAATTTTTAAGTCACCAGTAATTTCCTGAAACTCAAAGGGCGGTTTAACTGCAGCTTGAACACGTGGCAAGACAAGTTTGAGCAGATACTATTTACCTCAGAAGTTACTTAAGTCAACTGTCATTATGAAATTTCTCAGATTACTTTACACTTTTCTAATTGTAAAACAGTGTCTTTATTCTTGAAATAAATAATTGGATAATTAGCCAAGCTGAATCATCAGAGGATTCCAGTGCTGCTCAAGTGTTCTTGTCAAAGGTGAAGCAAATTCATTTCAGCTTTGCCTCTGCAGCTTTCTGAAGAGGCTTTGATTTTTTTTTCCTGCTACATTCTTGGCAGCAGCCTCAAATTCATGAGTCCATACATCAAGTCAGTAGTTTAACAACAAATGAAATTAAATTCAAAGAAGGAAAACTAATTGAAGGACAGCAACAAAAGTGTTTGGTAATGTGCTTTTTAATATGGCATGCCACATTTGCATGATAATTTTTCCTTTTTAGCATGGAGCAGAAAGTGACTAGCTTAATGAGGGATTATTCAAGACAGGAATGAACAAAATGCATTCATAACTAAGAACAAAGATTGTATTATGAAACGGAAACAGGCAACTGCCGAGAAGTAACTGGATGATTGGTTTATGCATTATGAATAAAAAGGTAGAAAAATATTTATATTAGTATTCACTAATGACTATA